ACTTGCAGACGTTGGTTTAGCTGTTACCTGTTTCATTCAATGTTATGTTGGGAACATCCTTCCTTGCCGGTAAATATAGGGTACAATGTTTAATGGTTGAACAGTATTCCATTGTATGGATGTGCTAAAAGTTATTTCACCAGTTATATTTTCAGGCATTTAAGTTGTTTTCAGGTTTTAACCACTAGAAACACCCTGTGCACTTTAATTATTTTTTCAAAATAAATAACTAGAAGTGGAATTACTAATAAAAGGATAATATTTTTAAAGCTTTTGATGCACATTGCCAAATATGAAAAGTCTCTACACTTCCCTTTACTGGGGAGTCCATCAATTGTGTAAGAATGTCTGGGTCTCCCACCCCAAACCCACCCCATCCTTTCCAGCAGAACTCAGTATTCTTTTCACTTTTTGCCAGTCTGACTTGTTTGTTTTTAAATCTTTTTTTATTTGGAATCAGGTTTAAACGAAACTTCTTGAAGCGTTCTGAAGGAGAAAGGAAAATCTTAGAGGCTGTGCTGCCTCAAGGGAGGGGTGTGTGTGAGAGAGAGAGAGAGAGACAGAGAGAGACAGAGAGATAGGGAAAGAAGGAGAGAGACAGAAAGAGAGAGAGGGAGGGAGGAAGGAAGGGAGGGAAAGAGAAAGAGAGGTGGGAGTGGTCCTACCACCAGTCCCAGTGCAGAAGGGAGAGGACGCTTTTGCTGCCTGCCACACACACACAGACACACACACCCACACACACACACCCCCCACAAGCTTAGGAATCCTGAGTCTGGTCTGTGCCCGTCCACACCTCCCTGGCTTACTTGCAACCTTGCAGCAAGGGTCTGGGGCTGGGAGTTTGGCCATCTGCCCGTTGATGCCACCCTGGGTGGAACTCAAACTCAGACCACCTGTGGCCTTGAATTTGCAGTTTGTAGAGAAGCTGTCTGCGAAAGAGAAAGAGCAGTCAGAGCTGGCCACTGCCTGCCTCCTCTCTGACATGAGGGGCCAGCGAAAGGAGAAAGGAACCTCCCCCTGGAACCTACAGTGCACATCCCTGAGATCGGGCAGAGCCCTTGTCAGTCCTGACACGAGCAAGAGCGAGGGGTGTGTTGCCTCCTAAATATATGGACTGGGATTTTGTCCGAACCACAGGATGATGGCCCAGGTTTTCTTTTTCCCTCTTTGTTGCTTTTAATACATAAAATGAGCATGTGTTTATTTAAAACAGCTTTCAAACTTAAACAAATAATGACGGACTGTTCAAACAGACTTCGGAAATAGCCCTAATCAGAATGTTTGAAAAAGCAAGAAGACTCTCTATGAAAGTCGCTTTTAGGACCTTCAGTCCTGAAACCACAGGGTCTGCTTTGCACTTTGGAATCACAGATGGGCAAAGCTCAGGGGCCATATTCAATCATGGGGGGTTAAAGGATGCCCCTCAGCCATACGACCCGACCTCACAATTTATGAGGAAGTATAGGTGAGCATTGTATTATCACCTCCCATTTTCCACCAGAACATGTCATGTGTATATTTTAATTCACAATTTCTATAGAAATCACCAACCATCTCGGAACAAAAAGCTGACGCCTTAGAAGGAGCTAGTAAATTGCTTCTGTAAACTAGCAGGCTTGGTAGACCGTCTGGAGAAGGGCAGGTTTAAGAGGAAGGTAGCAGGTTTGCGAGAGGACGGACTAGAGAGCAAGTTGTTAATACTGCCACTACTTCACATTCTGGACTACATTTACAAATGGCTTTGAGTTAATCTTCACAGCAACCAATTTTATGGGTGAAATAAATAAGGCTCAGGCTTGATAGTTTGCCCAAGGTCCTAAGCACTAGAATGTCAAAGCCAAGATTTCACCCAGATCTTCTCTCCCAAGTCCAAAGCCGTTCCCAGAGCTGTGGGGCTGTGTCAGCACCTCTGTGCTCATTTTTGGGGTCAAGAAATGCTACTCTCCCTCATCCCACTCTGGAAATGATGTGTGTTTGTTTTTTTATAAAGCACATCAGAAGTGGCCCAGTAGGTCCATTAGAAGCCGAGTTATTTATGTGAGGGGATGGGGGTCGGGAGAGGGGATTAGTCCAGCCCCAGAGAGGAAGGGATATTTGGAGAGGCATTTCTTCTGCCCCCTGGTACTGTGCACCAGGCAAATTGGGAGAAAATGCCAGCCCGAGTTTGTTCCTGCTTCCTCCACTTTCCCAGGACGGCTCCATGTCCAGAAAGGTCAGATGGACAGGGACTTAGTCAGTTTCATAGTCTGCCACAGAAAACTTCATTGGTAATGAAGGGAATGCAGGGCCCAGCCATTGACCCTCTCAGTGTCAGGCTGAATTGCATGCAGCACAGGGCCAGTTCCCTGAGGAATTTGGGGGGTCATTTGGCTGGACTGTTAGGGGTTCCAGCCCGACCATCCCTCAGAGAGAGCAGCATGGCAGGGAGGGCTATTGGACATTTGCAGCTGTGTCTGTGAGATCTTGGGATGAACGTTGCAAGAGGCAGAGTTTCTCCAGCTCACAAATATGTCCTGACCCCTTCCTGCCCCGTTTATCCCTGATTATATGTAGGGGAAGTATGTCTCTAGACAAACAGTCACGATTGTTGCCTCAGCTTTGTACTAAGGCACTAAGCATGCATTTCATTTATGTCTATTGCCTCGCTTTGCTAAGGCTCAAATTTAGAAAAATTTAACAATAGATTAAAAAAGAAGAAAACCCTTGCGCCCTCTCCTGGTAAAAGTTAATCCAGGACATCTGAAGGTATAGCTCACCCACTTGTTGGGAAGCAGTTGCTTGTCTAGGCTAACTAATCTTGTGCTAATTTGGCCAAAGTTGTTGACCCATTAGATGTTCTGTTGGATCTTTTGTGGTCTGTGATCACAGAGTTCTTCTAAACCTTTCTTCACAGGGTTTCTTTCGGCTGGAGAATTCTTTGTGATGAGGACGGTCCTGTACATTGTAGGATGTTGAACAGCATCCCTGGCCTCTGCCCACTAGATGCCAGCAGCACCCCCACCCCAAATCATGACTAGCAAAAATGTTTCCAGACATTGCCAAATGTCCCGTGGGGGGCAAGATCACCCCCAGGGAGAACCACTGCCCTAAACCCTTGTCTGCAGCCAGACAAGGCACAGGGCAACCAGTGAGAGAGTGAGGATGGCTGAGCACAAACCCTTCGTGACTGCGGGAAGGCGGGAAGCGATTCTGATGACTGGACAACTGGGTTCACCTCTAGAAATTTGTCTCAAAAAAACATCTGAACAAGTAGACAAGAATTTATGTATAAAGATGTATCATAACATTGTTTGTATTAGCAAAAGTTTAAACAACCCACATCAAGAACTGGTTAAATAAAGTACAGATGGAATACTATGTAGTCATGAAAAAATAATTGTGTAAATCAATGTTTAATAATGTGGGCCGTTCCCCTAATGATGCCTTAAACTGTCACCTTCAAGACTACTCCAAGATTCCCAGAGGCTGTTGTATACAGATGGAATAATTTCAAACAAGCAGAATAAGCATTGGGTGATGGATTAGGCGAAACACAGAATTCAAACCAATGATTGAATTCAGAAAACTTTAATCATTAATTGAGCAAACATTTATTAAGCACCTATATGTACCAAGACCACACACAGCACTGGGGAGACAAAGATGATACCTGGTCCCTCTACAGCAATACTTGCCCCAAACAGACAAACACACTGTGAACATTGGCAGAACCTCCTCTGCACAGCAGCCAGAAGTGTTGGTATGTTACTGTCTGCCATAATGAAATCGTGTGCTCCAATTCCAGATTGTTGGGAGTAAAATGAAACTATGTCTTGTTTTCCTCTTAATGCCTGAATAAATCACAGCTGAATAAAGTGAAAAGCATTTCATTTACTGATTTATATATTTAGAGAGTTGTCCAAATACTCATTGGGTCCAAATGTGGAACCTGATCTTCCCCAACAAATCTAAGAAACGAGCATTCCATGATTGGCTCAATCTAAGACGATCCAGAGAACTCTGCTACAACACACTGCAGGCCGGACTTCGATGCAGCGATAGGAAGGGAAAACAGGAGCCATCTTCTTTCCTCAGGGACCCGGGTTACCAGTGACACATAAGTGACCATAAATGACCACATGCTTTGTAAGTGCACAACTTGAATTAAACAGAGTTGTGGTCGTCCAGTCTAGCCATCCCCGGGGAGGAACCCTGCAACAGCTTCCTTTCCCAGGGAGAGCCCTACCCTTGACCTCAGAGGCCAGCATGCCACCAGTGGAGGCCACCCTGCTTGTGTCCACCACATCAGCATCCCAGTGACCAAGCACTGTCACAGCTGCTGTCGGTCTTGTGAGGGCATCAAAAGACTGAAGGGCACTGGTCTGGATCTGGGTTCAAATCCTGGCCCTGTCACTGATTAGACAAATCCTTAGCCTCTGTGAGTCTCAGGTTTTTTTCCTCTACAGAACAGGAACAAATAAAATGACTCCATAAGATGGGTATGAAGAACGAATAAAATAACGCACGTGAGGCATTCCTTACAAGGGCCTGGCGTAGAGCAGGCACTCAGTACAGGAGTGTAGTCCTAGTCGTAGTTTTTGTATTATTTTTACGAATGGCCATGCTAACTGAAATTGCAAAGCCTCCAATATTTCTACCTGCCTTTGCTGTTTTATTTTTCCCCTTAGCACTCTCTAACACACTGCATGATACATTTATTTTGTTTACCCTCTATCCCACTCGTCTAGATAAAAGCTTCGTGCAACAGGAACTTCCAGTCTATTTCATTCACGGCTGTATCTCTCTGGTGCCTGGCACTCAAATAGGGTCTCAATAAATATTTCTTGAAGGAAAGTGAAAAGAATGGGTCTGAAATCATGGCCCTAAAGAGCGTTTTACCTTTCCCTTCAGAGGGGAATTGCGAGGGCAGTCTGGCACGCCGCCTCTCTCCCTGTGAGCTGGCATTCTGTGCCCTTTCTCTAATACTCTTTCTTTTTCTTCCCTCCTCTCCCCCGCTGCAGGACGCCTTTGTGGAACTGTACGGCCCCAGCATGCGGCCTCTGTTTGATTTCTCCTGGCTGTCTCTGAAGGCGCTGCTCAGTCTGGCTCTGGTGGGAGCTTGCATCACCCTGGGTGCGTATCTGGGCCACAAGTGAAGTCAACAGGCCTGCCACAAACAAATATGCAAAAGGTTCACTAAAGCAGTAGAAATATATGCATTGCCAGTGATGTACCATGAAGCGAAGCTGTGGTCTCTTAAAAAGAAAAAAAAACAAAAACAGCTTTCAAGCTCAACGTCGAATCAGCTATTTACTGCCAAAGGGAAATACCATTTATTTTTTACATTATTAAGAAAAGAAAGATTTATTTATTTAAGACAGTCCCATCCACCCTCCTGTCTTTGGAAACCCTACCACTAACTGCCAAGCCCCACCTGAGCAGCTCCACCTGGATCTCCTGTGCCTATCAACACGGATTTGTTTTCCATGTTGTTGGCTGGACTGACTCACCATCTGAAGAGCAAACAAACTGACAAAGGCCTTGACTGTTCCAGAAGCTGGGTTTCTGGCTGCTGGAGGTTAGGAGGAAGGTGTTCCTTTTCTTTGCATTTATTTGCCCTGGGGGCTGTGATATTAACAGAGGGAAGGTGCTTGTAAGGGAAGTCCATTCTTCCCTGACCTGAAGAGCAGACACTTTGCATATGGCTCGCATGGTACACACCCAGTTGGAAGAAAAAAATTGGGAACTTCAGATGGACTTGGCATCTGCCAAGAGTTCCACACCGAAGGACAAGATGGGGAAAATGCCGTTAAACCATAGGAAAGTATTTTTTTAAGCTACCAATTGTGCCGAGAAGCAATTTTAGCAATTTATACAATATCATCCAGTACCTTAAGCCCTGATGTGTATATTCATATATTTTGGATACGCTCCCCCTCCAAATACTGGCTCTGTCTGTGTATGAAACAGAATTCTCTGGAATGCGAGGAAGTGAACGTTTAGGTGACTTCTTCAGCATCAGGAAGGCTTGAGTTACCCAGAAGCATCAGGCCACCACAAGTGCCTGCTTTTCCGCAAGAGGCTGCAGTCTGACATCCTGCCTTGCCCCAGCTCGGAGGCCTCGTGCTGGAACTGAGCCTGGGCACTCGCTGGCCTGTTCGAGGGGTTTGAAACAGAGCACGGTGGTCTCTGAATGTCTGGAAGCTGACAGCTCAGAATTCCACTGTCGAAAAAGAAGAGTATGTAGGCCTGGGCCTGTTACCCTGCAGCCCTCTAGTTAGGCCCGAGTCCACGTGGATATGGAACCTGGGAGCCGAGACTCTTAAGACGGTTATATCACTGGGGAGGAAAGGAAACAGCGGCACTGAGCCTCTCCTAGCAGAGGGAGGTGCTGAAGGCTGGAAATGCCCCTACCGAAAGGACACTCGAGGAGAGGAGACGTGTGCGGCCTGCGCGCCGTGTGGCCGCGGCGCATGCGTGTTGGCCGCGTGTCAGCCCGCTTGCCTGCGCAGTTTAAAGCAAGGCTTTAAAGGACTTTGGGGAGGGTCATAAATCCTAAAGGAAGCGTTGAAATGAGGTGTCATGGATTAATTGACCCATGTCTGTGGAATTACGATGTAAAACATTATCTTGTCATTGTAGTTTGGTTTTATTTGAAAACCTGACAGAGGGAAAAAAAAAAAAGTTCCAGGTGTGGAATGTGGGGATTATCTGTACAGCCTGGGGCATTAAAAAAGAAAAAAAGAAAATCAGTGGTGGAAAACTCTAGAGAAGTAGCAAAAGAAGTGGAATCTCCAGCTAATAAACTAGAAAATATTTTTTCAAGTTTAGAATCCGCCTTGAGACATATGTGGAATAACTGTGGCATTATGGCATTATATACCATTTATCTGTATTAACTTTGGAATGTACTATGTTCAATGTTTAATGCTGTGGTTGATATTTCGAAAGCTGCTTTTTAAAAAAATTACATGCATCTCAGCATTTTTTTAAAAAATTGTATTTAGTTATGGCCTCTACACTATTTGTTAGCAAAAAATGATCATTTTTCCATTTGAGATTTTTGTCTCTGAATTCTTTAAAAGCATTTATGAGAGGTGAGATAAGCCCTGGGTCTCAGCTACCTGAGAAACCCTGGCACGTGCTGGCCACGGAGGCGTGTTACTTCAACCAAGTTATGTGCACTTCTATGTCAACAGAATTGTTTGTTGTGGGCGATGTGTCTGTTGTCCCTGTGACCTTGTTCCTTGAAGGTTTACTTGTCCCTGGGCAAATCAGAATTTAACTCACATTGTTTAAGATTGCATACATGTTTGGTTAAACCCATGAGGTTCATTCAGTTGAAAATCCATATGGGAAATGACCAGGGGATTAAATTCTGGCTATGATGGTTTGACCTTTAGAGAGTAGCTTTACATGGCCTGTTTCCACATAGACCCATCTAGAGCCCTCCTGCCCTCCTTCCACAGGGCCCTTTTCCGTGGCTGTCCTTCAGGTTCTTCCTGAAATGCAGAGGCACTTAACGCCCCACACCGAGAAAGCAGGAAATCCATGGTATGAAGCCAGAGCTCCCTGGCAGGCCTCAGGGAACAGGACGATCAGACCTTTGAATGATTCTAATTTTTAAGCAAATATTATTTTATGAAAGGTTTACATTGTCAAAAGTGATGAATATGTAATATCAAATCCTGTGCTGCTATCCTGCCAAGATCATTTTAATGGAGTCAGTTTGCAGTACACTCCAAGTGGCGAGATCCTCCAAGCTGCTTTCAAGTAACAATGAAGAACATGGACATTTTTAATATAAAGCCTATTTGTCTTTTGTTGTTGTTGTTATTGTTCAAACTTGGATTTGCAGAGTATTCTAAAAAATGTATATATAAAGAAGGTCATGGGGGCTAACTTCTGGCTGGCTTCCTTTTGCTGTAGGGTTTTGTTATCTGGATTTTAATGGTAAATATACTCAGCCTGACCCCAGAACTGTACAGTATTGTGGCTGCACTCGCTCTAAGAGTAGTTGATGTTGCATTTTTCTTATTGTTAAAAACATGTTAGAAGCAATGATGTATATAAAAGCCTCAACTAGTCGTTTTTTCTCCTCCTTTTTTTCATGGTCTCAGTTATTTTGCGATCTGGACAACAGAGAACCATTCCTACTTATTTTGTATTGAGAAGGGATTCACACCTGAATTAACCATCAGCATGGTGCATATTTTGGTCAAGGTCTGGGCTAAATAGAACACATGCATTTTCCAAATTGGAGTCAAGGGCTCTTAAAAAGAGCCACAAAGAGAAAAGTACCCAAGAACCTCCTTGGTCCTCCCAAGCCTTCACTGCACAAGCGCTCTGAAAGAGAGATCAGAACAGCTGACATGTTCTACAGCAAACAGTTCATCTCAGACTTGACAGTGGCTGAAAATTCTTGTAGGTTTAAGATTTGGACTAAAGTCACATTTTGAATTAAGGAAGCACCTTGCTATAGTTTAAGCAAAAACCTGGCATCCTCTGCCCGAGGCTGCTTACCGCTGCATATTCAGAGATGGTCTTCCATTTAGATGTGACTTTTATTTCCTTAGTAAATATTTATAGCTTATCGTCTCAAGACCTAGTACTGGCCCAATGTGGGAAATTAGCAAGTGATTGTAAATCAAGAGGAGTTATAATAATCAGCATGAAACGTAAGAAAGTAAGGCAGTCCCAACACGTGTCTAGCTTTCGCATCAAGGATCTGCTGAACGAACAGAATTGCAAATAGTCTATATTGTAATTAAACTTATGCTAAAATGACTGATTTATCATTGTGAACTTAAATTCTAATTTCAATTGTACTTTTAAGGCAGTGGCTTTTTTTATACTTTCTTATCACTCATAGTTAGTAATGGACACCTACTCTATCAGAAAAAAACAGGAAGGGCTTGAAATATAAGCCATTCTAAGGAAATAAGGGAGTCAGTTGAAATTCTATTCTGATCTTATTCTGTGGTGTCTCTTGCAGCCCAGACAAATGTGGTTGTTACACACTTTTTAAGAAATACAATCCCACATTGTCAAGCTCATGAAGGTTCCAATCAGATCTTTATTGTTGTTCAATTTGGATCTTTCAGGGATTTTTTTTTAATTATTATGGGACAAAGGACATTTGTTGCGGGGGTGGGAGGGAGGAAGAATTTTCAAATGAGCAAAACATTCCCAAGATTGGGTCAGGGTGCAGAGGTTTTCAGAATAGCCAGGACTGGGATATGAAATAGAAACAAATGGGACCTTTATTGGGGTCAATGTGATGCCTCTGTGAAGGACCTTATGTGACAAACAAGAAGCATTTTTAAGTTCTGTGATGTGTTTAGATTCTAGAGACATCAGCACAACTCAGAGTCCAGCTCTGTGTGGCCGCGCAGATGGACCCAAACTCGTTTACAACATTTGCCATCGATGGTATTAATTTCAAGGCTGAATATGTCTAAAGGCCATTTAAACAATAAGTTTGCAGTTTTAACCAACACAATATTTAATGAAAACCTTCTGGTCGGTAGGGACATCTGTTTCTAAATAGTTATTATAAATAATACAAAAAAAACAAAACAAAAATCAGTGTGAAACTGAATTGGGCAAGTGATAATACAAGTCCCTTATTTTTACCCAAAGAATCATTCTGTTACTTGTCTGTGCTTGTAGGACAGACGTTGGACAACCATAAAATACACATCCCACTGGACACAAAGAAAACCAGATGGAGTATGAATGGTATTGCACCAATTCATCATGACTACCCCAGAAAAATAACTTAAAGCCAATATCCTATTGATGACAAGGAGAAGACAAACACACTTGTGGAAAATGGAAAGTCTTAATCGAAAGATCCTGGGACTGTTACTGAATAAGACTGTGGTACAGATACTTGGTAATGCCATACACCTAAACCCTTAGGGGAATCAGCAGTGGGCCTTCCAGCCTGCTAGTTTCACTAGGTTCTTCCCTCCGGGTTAGCATTTGAAGGAGTGATTGCCGATCAAATTTCTTTTGGGGAAGCTTTGGTGGTTGTGTTTATTATATTATCATCTTAAATTACCAACCAAGTTTTGCTTTTGTTTTGAGTTACTGGGATTATTTTTGTTTTCACTAGAATAAGTGTATAAAAAGTGTTTTTGTATTGAAAGCTTTTGTTATCAAGATTTCATGCTTTTACCTTCCATGGGCTGTTTTTAAGATTGAAACTTTTTAGGGGTGGCTGATATCCTGCAACACTGTACACACACACAAAAATATATGGTAAGCATACTTTAGATAGTTAAGATAAAGTAAGTCTCTGGTTGGCCAGCATTCAATATAATGGCACTTTCTTTGTGTTGTTGGGAAAATTCACGTTGCCATTAAACTTTCCTTGTCTGTCCAGCTAATATTGTGAAGAAAAATAAAGTACGATGTGAGATATTGGTTGTGCCCTGGAATTGTTTATAATGTGGTGACATGATTTTGCCCTGCCATTCATCGTCATTAAACAAGACTTTAAAAACTTAACAAGCAAGTAGAGCCACTAGGAACCTCAACTCTAATGGAACCCTGGGGGACCAGGCTACGGGATTGGCTTATAGGTGAAACCACCTGAGCAAGAGGCCCTTTTGTTTCTTGGTTACTTACCCTCTTGGTTTGTCCAAGATGGACAAGCCTTGAGTTCTTCTTCCTCAGAAAGCCATTGTTGCTCTTGGGTATGTTTTCCCACACCAAGTGAGGATCCCAGCCTCTGCATTCCATGAGATAAAAGGTTGTATAAAAAGGGGAGAAACAAGCTGAAAGTTCTAGTTTGAAGTTAGCATTCTAAGATAACCAAAGCGGTTACTTGCTTTGGAGCATAAAAACCCTAAGTAGCAAGGCATCTGTGTTTCCCTCTTATACTGAAACCCTACACATCAATCCTTCAAGTCTCTCCTCTTTGACTCAATTAAAAGGACTCTGATAGTGACAGCCATCTGTTGAGCATCTGCTGGATGCCTGCACTGTGGCTTTTACTACCTTGGAAGGTAGGTATTGGCTTCTCCTATTTTATAGGAGAAAAATGAGACTCATAGAAGTTGAACAATATGTCCAAGTCGTCAAACATCATAAGTTACAGAGGCAGGATTTGAGCCGTGGTCTGGCTGACTCCAAGGCCTGTGTTCCTCCTCTCAATCAGTGGTCTTCAAGTGGCTGCACAGGGAGCCTTGGGGACACAGCCTTTCTAAGGGGTAGGCAGACATGACATGTTTAAAGGAATCAGTGTTCTCGAAATCCATGGGTGCTCTGTCATAAACTCATCTTGAGAACACCCTTGAGGTCAAGCCAGTTCTCATCTCCCACCTTCCCTTTGACAATCATCCGTCACATTTCATGAAACAGAGGCACACTGCTCTCCCTCTCGGAATCCTGCTGTGAGGCACTGCAGTGTGTAGAGGCTGCCTCACAGTGGCTGGGGGAGCCAACAGTGTGCATCTCTTCCCAGCTCCATGTCAGTGAAGTCAAGTTGGTAGCTTGAAATTGGCCGTGGTAGAAGTAGTTACACCACGGAAATGATCAAAAGCTACAAAGCAGAGCTTTTTTTTCCCCTTCTTTCTTTCTTTCTTTTTTTTTTTTCCCAGCGAGCCAATTTACCTGCACATCCCTGGGCATTGTCCTGGAGTATTAAAACCCTCAGGT